AACTAGGACTTTGTAATTAATCTGAGGGGGCCCCCTATCGATCGCGGGGCCCTGGGCACTTGCCCAAAGTGCCCACTGGGAAAGACGGGGTTGGCTACCGGTTAGGATATATGGATTTTCTTTTTCCATTTATCGCTAGCAGTGGGGATAAGTTTTCAGGGGTTTCTAATATTGATTAACTAGGTGTTCCTGAACTACTAGTGATAGTGAATCTTTTTTTTATAAATGTGAAGTTACCACGCTACTTTTGGCTATAGTATAGAGCTAGTGGTAGCTAAACGTTTTTCATAAGAGACCAGAAAACTAAATGTTAGGCTCTGCTCAAACGGGCCACCAACCATAGCCACCGGTGCCGGTGGCCAGCGACAAGCAGTTCACACGCTTTTTCATACATTTTATTGAAACTCGCCGCACAGGCCACACGCTGCAGCAGTGTCCGCGACTCGCCACTTGTGGTCGCTGCGGGCCACACCAGACGCCGACACCCGCCACTGTCGCGCTGCTCCACCCCCGCGCAGTTTACCCAACACAGACAGCGACAGCGTTGCTTACGTCGTCTGCGTAGTAACAATGGCACGAGTTACCTTGCCGTGTCGCAGTCCATCGTAAGACTGTGCACTGAGAGCGGTTATAAAATGTGGGGCTTCCAAAATCCAATGGCTGTCGCCTGTCTCTGACACTATTGAAAATGTGGCGGTAGCGCGTGGCAGCTACGGTGGCTGTGGTCGGTCCGTTTTCGCCGAGCTTGATTTATTTTAACTACTGGACTATGGACTTTTATAATCGAGGTTAAGTTTATACCTCGTAAACTAACGTGGCTACGCAGAAATAAACGTTATCCTCTCCTTGTTTCTTAGAAAAATAATGAAACGTAAGGGGTACGTACGCCGATTATATTAGATGGCGTTCTGGGAATACCACAGCTCCGTATTGTACCTTTATTTAAGCGTAGTAAGATTTTATTATTAAATATTTTCTGCGAGTATTTACGTTGGTATTGTAATAAATGAATACTAGGATACATTAATGTTATTCTGACAGTAATTTTAATAAGGTTAAGATTTTATAAACTAATCTCTATCTAGCATCAAAAACAGTGATATTTTTGGTCTTTTTTCGGATTAGGGTTACTGGTTGCAAGGATTTTACCCAATATTCACCAAACATGGTTATGTTCAGTCCAAATGATGGATGGTTATCCTGTAATCCCTCAGTACCTTTGGACTTCTTGGGAAATTAGCAGTAATTCTATTTATTTATTTATTTAATTAATTGCACATGTACAGTATATATAGGACCTTAAAATTATTTTAGCATGATACATGACCCTGTCAGGGTGTTGCAAGTACAATAACAATATCACCACAACTACTAAACAGTTTCAGTTTCAAACAAGTTAGTGAGCTTTCCGTGACAGTTTCACTTATCATTCATAAATTCATTTATCGAATAGTATGCTTTCTTGATTAGATGTTGTTTGAGTTTCTATATTTTTGGAAATTAAAACCATATGGAGTTAAATTATTAATGAATTCCCAAACAATACCAAAGAACTAATATGTGCAAGCACGTGTTTAATTCATTTGTTATCTTCAACCATTGAAATTGGAATGCTAAACATTGCCAATATGTGATTGAACATTATTTCTAAAGCACAAGCCATAGCTACTAACAAACGGTAACGGAAGCAAAGACAAGAGCGTGTTGTTCTCTAAATATAGAACAAGCAACACATGGTACGTGCTACCAATGGCCTTACAGATTTTACGGGAAACTCGTGTGTACGAACGCCTTTAAGACATTATAAAAAGAGAACTTTGAGAGATGAGATCACAGTGAGATCAAACCTTTTTCAGATTAGAGTACTCCCACAACATTGCCAATTTTTCCTAAAAAGTCAACTGAAGTTTTCGGCCCAATGCAGTAGTTTTTCAACCTGCACCTACAATTTGTTTTCTTCCAGATAAATTTGTTTATATTGCGAAGGAAGTTGATTCTTTCAATGTCTTAAATGGGGTTTCTTCCTTCATCAAATTTTATGGTACCAATACTATATATGTACCTTTATCCAGACTTCGTCTGAAGGCATCACTTGTGTGCTTATTGAATATTGAGATGGCATTAAATGTGCTAAATACATAGATAACACCATAAAAATAAAACAATAAAAGGTCCTTAAAATGAATCTTAGCAGTTCTTCTCATCGTAATAACAAAAACTATCAGCCTATAGAAATTTCACAGATTAGTATGGTTAGTACAAACCCCGACCACAACGGAAATGGCCCAGCCATAATATGGCTAAGTACTGAGTTTTACTCGACTTGGTGGGATTTTTGTATTCAGCCTTGCATCTTGAACACTATTATACATTCTATTCTTGTTAGCATATAATATGTGATCTATAACTATTTGGATTATATACTATTTAATAAACAAAAATAAAATCACATCAAAATAATAAGTATCGATACATGAAAGTTTGCACGTATGCGATATGAATCATCATAAATTTAAAAACTTCTAATAAGCGATTTGATTAGCTAGAGAAGCCCGCGTTTTTCATCAAAGGGAAGCCATGTTCTTTCATCAAAGAAAAAAATTCACAAAAGAAAAGCGGCGCGTCCAATGCGAGCAAAAACGCTGATAACAAACGAACTATTATAAAATTTGTTGGACGTTCAAAAACACGTGTAAAAATTTTGACACGAACCGAATCCAATTCACAATCGAACGGAAACTGTAATCGAAAACAAATCGAAACTCAGAAAATTGTCCGTACAAAGAGTATTGTAATGGTATCACGTACGATAATCGATGCTATTATGACATACACGGGAGAATTGCGCCTAACTATAATCCAATATTTATCCCTGTGACTTGGCGTTCGGAACCAAAGCATTGTGTTCATCTCGACTTATTGTGATTCCCCCAACGTGTAAAAGAGACGTAGATACTAAACCGTGACGTTGTTTGCACTCGCCTCACACGACAGGTAAATTCGACGACAAAAGATGTGGGAGTTTGTTTATTAGAAATACCTGGACACAGGTAGACGTTCATTGTTGCACATCCCTATCGAAGAATAGAATTTTTCGGAAATAATACAATGAATGCGTAATTTATGTAGGTTGAAATACAATATTTCATATATAAAACCTTTTCGGAAACATACCTGTGTGGATGATTTCTTTTTTTTTTTTGGCGCCGCATCGTTCTGTTTCTGACAATCTGTGTTTTGGGTGCGTTTCGTTTCGGTGCGTGCGGTACTATTATTTGTTTTACGGCCAATTTGGCATGATAGAGACATGCCCGTTTGCCCGTGGTGAGATTGTATCTCCGTTTGTTTGCAGCGACGCTAAAGTTAATTGAGTATTTGACTCATTACGAATACCCGATGTTAATCTGCCGGATTGGACATAATGAGGTTATTTACGGCGACGCCTTATGAATATTAAAATAAACCCGACATATTCGGTTGTGTGAAATTTATATAATTTTTTGTTTTACGATTTTTTTATTGACCCGGTTCTATCAAATATTTTTTTTCTTGTATAATCAACGTTTCGTTGCGTGCATTGAGCGTGTCATTTTTTTGTTTCTATAACTTCCAATGCAGTATGTGTTCCTTTACAGTTCGGTAATTCTATAGCGCATTTAAGGAAACGAGGGCGTTTCTTTATAATTCCAGTAATGTTTGGAAGTGTGAAATCGTAAATACACAAACGGAATGCAACTGGTGATTGGGGCAACTAAATTTTGCGTGAAAATGTTCAACATGAAACACTTATCTCCCATTACAGTAAGTTATATTATTGAACGAACTTATTGAGTCTGTGTGTACTTACACAGTTTTGTGGGAAGAGGATATTGCAATTCAATATTATTGTGAACTCATTGAGCCTTATTCACGTTCGTATACGGAAAATGCATTGTCGAGGTTCAATGCAGACCTACCTGAACATGACACCTGCTGTTACACTATGGTCGGGCACAGATTATAAATCGGAGCGCCGCGTGAAGTCATTTCTAGGTTGGTAGATCCGATTCTTGTCTATGGTAAAGTTAATTTATTAATTTTCGCCAGACGATGTTAAGAAAAGAAATGGTATTGTTATAAATACCCAGATACCACACAAACGGGTCGTTAAAGTTAACTGTAAAAAAATATATTTGTGGGAGTAGCTACTCTTTTACGATGCGACCTTATCACAATAGCCCAGCGTAGGTATTCAATGGGTATTATTTCGAATAATAAAAATATTTTAATTTAATAGCTCAACAGTTGGTGAGTGCATCTTTTAATTAGGTTAATTATGGATGTATTGTAAGAGTGGATCCACACATGCCTACCGGCACGAGCGGTTTTAACTGCCGCGGCTTTTATTTACTTGCGGTATACAGTTCGCTCGCGTTTTTTTTTGTGAATAACATCGCACTACATAAATGTGAAACACGCAATGATATTATATTCCGAGATGTTCCAAACCTTTTTTTTTCGATTATACCACCAACTTCGATGAGAGTCGAAACAATACTGCAGGCCGGCTAAACCAGCGATAAAAAGCGGCAGCAAAGCCAGCGGCAAAAGGCAGGCAAAAGCCGGCGGCATATGTGGATATACCTTAAGCTGGCTGCTAATATTAATTTATTTTGGCTAAAGGTTTAACTAAACTAGAAAGGATAATAATAAAAAAAAATATTATCAAACAATTTTTTATAATTATTATCCTTTCTAGTTTGCTCTTAGCCAAATGGAGTATGTCAAAGACAAGGGACTAATTTCATAGAAAAATATTATAAGTCGCCGCTAACTGTCTTTATTTATTCAGCGCAGGCCACAAGACCATCAAATTCAAATTCGTCGTCGCCTATACTAAGTTTAATCGCAGGATATGTTGGAGTCCTCTCGCATAGTTACTATGTAGAATGCATTTGTCATATCAGGTATGTCACTTGGGTGTGATCCAACAAAAAAGTAAGAAAAAGTTCGTCACTTACCTCACTCTCAGTCCAATCGATAAGACTAGACTTCTCTTCAAGAAGGTTCTCGGAGCTCCTCTTCTCGTCCTCTCCGTCCCCCTCGTCCTTGAACACTTTGACCTCATCAGTGGAGCCCAGGTCGTCACCCCCCGAGCTCGCGGCCGAGCTCGAGTGCGCATGCGGCATCTTCATATACCTAAACCAACTCCCATTATCCCATCCTCTGAACAGTCAAAACTATCTGTCATCCATGACAGCACTACGCCCCCATTCCGCACTAGAACCACACGAGACTCGTCAAACTTGGTCCTTCGAGCCGGATACCCAGTATAAACATTGATTTCGTTTTGTCTATAGTTTTGTAAAACTTAAGCTACTAGGCGACTGTCTCCTAAACTAAATTGAGATCACAGATAACTTTTGTCAAGTGTAACTTAAAATGCTAATGTTGAGGTGTTCCGTTTGACTGTGTGCCGGTATATATCTGAAAAGAAACAAAACCAATCATTAATTGAATATTCCGTGACTCGTATTATTAAAGGGATAAAGATCAAAATTTGTTACGCGTCAAGTCGCAGTCTCGTTTTAGGTCAAGCCGCTTTCAAGAGTACAGTAACAACCACTTTTGGCGCGACGCCAAGATATAGCATCTTTGGATTTATTTCACACAATACAAAAGACTAATTTATTTTATATTTTTAAGAAACCACTTAAACACGTATCTGGTAACACTTCTCTTTTACGTATACAAATATCTTGATGCTTTAAAAACAAAAAATTAAGTGTCATTCTCTCACGCAGCGGTGGTTAACAAAATAAAAGGTTGAGAGACCAAGATACTCGTAGTTAGGATAAATTTACCCAAAATAAATAAAAAATGGGTAGGTCATCTTACAGTAAAATTTAGCATGACGACATCCTACAACAGTTTACTATTTAACTAAAGCCTGAAATGTGCTAGCAATATATCATCAGATCAACTTTTTGGTACCGCTAACTGTCTTTATGTATTCAGCGCAGTCCACAAGACCATTAAATTCAAATTCGTCGTCGCCTATACTAAGTTTAATCGCAGGATATGTTCGAGTCCTCTCGTATAGTTACTATGTAGAATGCATTTGTCATATCAGGTATGTCACTTAGGTGTGATCGTATGAATAATGGCGGTCGACACGCCTGGCGAGAGTTATGCATGTCAATGATGCCGTCGCCTTTAGAAGGGCTAGAAGAGCGGGAAACAATGTTTTTGGAATCGGAACTGCATTCATTGTCTCTGGTCTTGGGAACGGCCTATTCAATTTGAAACCGGACTTTCGCGCTTATATTTTTTAAAGTAAATTAAATCTACGTAGTGTAGATTTAATTTTAAACATTTCTTACAAACATTAATTATTTATTTATGCGGGGTTTTGCTGTTGAAAAACTCTCCTATCAAATAGTGATTCAAAATGTTCATTTTAAGTATATAAGACATTAAAGTACAAAAGATTTGCTATTGTTATAGTTCTAAAATCGAATTAATGAATGACTCATCTTTAGGATTTCCCGAGAAAAACGGATCCTAATTGTGTCTAGTCTACTTTTGTCAGATTTAGCGTGATTCACAGAACAGAAGATCTTTCGCGTGATTGAAACATAAACAAAGTTTTAAGGGTGCCTGGGCTTTTATCTGGTGTGTGAAGTTAGTCAAAAATAATACGAGCGATTGGAAATGGACTATACCCACTGCTGACGCACAGCTTCCCTATGGATGGAAAAGGGAGATTGGGCCATGACCCACCACGCGGGCCCAGATGCAGCCGGTACCAACGGCTTAACGTGCCTTCCGAAGCAAGGAAAAACACGAGGTAGAATATTTTTGGTCACCCATCCAGTGACCGACCACTGCGAAACTTGCTTAACTTCAACGATCGCAGCCGAACGCGCTAGCCAACTGCGCCATCGCGCTCACCAACGTTCTATTATAAAATCATAGAATCGTAAATTTGTAGCAGCAACAGGAAATGGGCCGTTTCCAAGACGACTGATAAGCAATTGTTATCTTTTCTAAAGAGATGGTAGCGTCAAGTTATTAAATGCTAAATTATTGAATTAACTTGCCGAGTTGACTTTCGATATTAAATCGTCATTGCCATCCATTTTACTTTAACTTCCACACTCTTTTTAATGACACGGGAACTTCACAATGAGGAGGAGCTCGAGATAATTAATTTTTGGACGCGATGTCTAACAATTGGGGTGACGACGGGGTAAACAATATTTTTTTTATAGCCAGGTAGGCAATTAGTCGAGTAGGACTATTTAGTCCGTCTCACGTTCAGTTAGATTATTAAAAATAATGGTCACCTATCCGTTAAATGTTTAAAAAAATGTTCATTTATCAGTATCATCGCCATGCATGTCAAAGGCGACTGTCGTAAACGTCTTATAACCGTTAAAGTCAGTCTGCATTATTTTCATCTCTAATCGAGTCTAAACTCGATACTTATTGTCGAGTCGATTATCGGCCGACACCTAACTCGAATTCATTACACTTGTGGCGGAACCGTATCATATACACAACACAAAATACGATACAAAGCTATAATACCGAAACTGGAACCGTTGAACTTTATTACAATGGGTGTAACGCTCATATTTGCTTATAAGTTTTCATATTATAGATCGTTTGCTCTACATGCGTTTGCGCACGCGTGTGTGTGACTTGTTTGTTATTCATAATGCCATGTTTGATTATTTCATAGATTTATTTAGCTGTGCAAGCAGGATATTTATTGTATTGTTATCTTTTCTAAGTAGCCCCAAGCACCTATTTAGTAGAATAGAATTTTAAAAACTTAAGTGGGTACTTGAAACTTCATATTCAGTTTCTATTGATATGCAATAAAAAATGCATGGAATGAATGTCTGCTTGGTGCAAAAAGTATAAATAAGCAAATACAAATACTTAAGTTGCATTTGATGTTGAAACAGGTGTATTTTTATTTTGGGAAATAAATGAAGAATTACGATACTTACGCACAATTAAGGAGAAGCTTTACCTTAAATGAGAATAAATTAACAAATTGCGACCGGTCTACGATAATATAAATCGAAGTATTTAAATCATTATTATTTACAATAAATACCAAGAACAAAACTATAACAAGCGAAGCAAAGTGATATTAAATTTAACCAATAATTTAGGCGCCATCATAAATGAGTTAACGCATAAGCAGCTCGTTAAATGTTTTCGGAAAACATCATCATGAGCCTATTAATGTTTCCACTGCTGGGGCACAGGCCTTCCCTATGGATGGAATAAGGAGATTGAGCTATGACCCACCACGCGGGTGGCTGCTTACAACTGCAGGTGCACAAAGGAGCTCGAAATAATAAGTTTTGGTCACCCACCCATATATGTTTTTATAACAAATATTAATAAATATTTCTAACACTCACACCAAATTGACCGACCATTGCGAAAGTTGCTTTGCTCGAAAAACATAATTGTTTTTTTTTAATACGGGGCTAAGAAAACAAATAGCCGTTTCTATTCCATCCATAACGAAGCCCTGTGCTCCAGCAGTGGCGACTTAATAGGATGCCCAGTGATGATGAATAAGAAGAAAGCCAATTCGCCCCACCAGATGTAAAGACTAACGCTACCGCCACACCGACGTGTTATGGCGAACATTTTCCGTTTCAATAACGACTCGGGCCATGCAATAATCACTTTTCATGACATTGTCATAAATGTGTCTATTGCTTGGATAGGTGCGTCGTGAAGAGCGCAAATCGCGTTATCGCGATAGTTTGGCCCCAGCATAATTGTAGTACGAGATCATTGAATGGCGTCATTAAAAAATTACCTGCATCACACACTATTACACGTATACACAGCACACGTATTATGTTTTTCTATTAATTTTATTATATTATCACATTGTTAAGTTGAAAGTTTCGCAATACGGACCCTCTTTTCAGAAAGTAACCATATTTCCATATAAACAGTGGTGTCGATTCTGGCATGACTCTTAACATCAGCCTCTCCTTTTCATACAGTATAGGGAATGACAAGGATACACTGTTGTCAAATTTAAGTTTACGTTAAGCGAATCATGCCAGAATCGACACCAGTATTACGTTTAATAATAAACTGGCTGAGACAAAACATATTTTTAAGTAACATGTCCAAGTAATAACTTCTTGTCCACGTGGAGGTCTGCTATTGTTGTAAGCGCGAAACGATAGAAATGGCAAGACACTATCGAATAATAACAACTCAGAACAGGCCAGGCCAGCACAGTAAAACAAGAAAATGGCAATATTTCACCGCGAACTAATGGGATCTTGCCGAGGTGTCTTTTTACGGCGGTTTTACGAGTTGCAGTCGACACGCGAAGGTGCGGCCATGATGTTGCCAATGCCAACTATTCAGTTGTTTCTGGTGTGCTGTTATATGTGTCCAGACGAGGATGTGACGAGGAACGGAGAACGTTTTAATTTTACTTTAAACCTAGCTGTAGTGAGATTTATTTTCACATCATAGTATCGTTGATTACAGAACCGTTATTTGCATGCCAATAAATTATCCCATGTATGAGAGTCTATAAAGTTCCAAAACACGATTATGGTTAGTTAGTCACACATGAAGATTCCAGGAAAAGTAAAATTTTCTAAATCTTTTATGAATCGTCATTAAATTGACGGTCATAATCGGTAGGAAAAGTTTGACAGTTTTAAGTAACATATGGCTATATGTACAGTAGATTCGTCATTTTTTGTAACAGAATCCGCGATATATTGTTTTAAATTTTCATGGTCACTAACATTACAACAATTTATGTTATTTAAGGTATTGTTACCATGTACCTTGTTTATAGTGAGTTTTCGATATTTTGGCACTGTTGCAAGCGCCATGATCTCGGAGTAATAAGAGAATACACGCCATTGCTATATTGAGTATTTTGTTTATGGTTAATTTAAAATTACAGGATTTATACCTAATTGTAGTAAGATTATATTATTATACACTAGCAAACCCGGCGAACTCCGTTTCACCACCAGATGGCTTCGTTTTATGTAACATTTCGTTTGGTGATTAAAAGAAGATTTTTTTTTATTTTTCCTGAATTATCTTTGCTATAAACCTCACGGAGCCCGAGACCTTTCCAACGAATGCAAAACCGTGGAAATCGGTACGTGCGTTCTGGAGTTATAGCGTCAGGAAGGAAAACCCGACTTATTTTTATATAGTAGATAAGTATTAAACTATAATTCTATAGACTTCACGCAATATCGAACGAGCGATAACAAGACTGTCTAACTAGACAGGGAACTTTAAAAACACACTAAGTATCTCTTATTCTATTACACTCTGAGTATGATTACCGCGTGCATTATTAAGCGTAATTTAATGCGGTCTTTACCATTCTAAAAAGTCCTGCGATCTGAAGACAATATAATAATTTCCCAATAGGAAATCTGAGTGGGATTCTCACC